TTTCAAAATCCGATTCAAGATTCATGTGCAGGTAGGTAACTGCAAGAAGGTAAATTTGTAACCAAGATTAATGTGCAAGAAAGGGCCTTCTGCATTTGCTTTACTCCTTTATTACGAACTTGTACTTTTAAATTAAACAAATTTTTTGTTTTGAGAAATATAGGTTGATGCGAACCCTTGATTGTGGCATTCGTGCTCGTGTGCCAGTCACTTTCTTAACAGGTTTTCCTCTGTAGTATATTTTACTTTTTTTCGTCTTCTGTTTAGCGCGACGTGCAAACTAGTGGTATATGTTGTTTAGACACACGGTTAAAAATAAATTTATGAATGATGGTGTATAATTTCAGGAATTTGAGGTCGTGGAAAAAGAACATGGGGTTTGATATTAACAAATAAAAATATATCTTCAATAAAAATTGTAAATCTATGTATTTTCACGTAAATTAGCGACGAAAGTGTAGTTATTGGTGTTAGTATGAATTATCTTTATGCCAAGCCCGAGCAACGCTTTGTATATGTCGTGCCAACTATCATTTGATTGCATGATTATGATTAAGATACGGATTTTTGCCTATTTGCCTATTTTTTCTTCCATGGAAAACGCAATCTTTTGGTTACTTATTTATTTTGAAGCTTTAGGAGCATTATATGCGAATTTTGTAGTACCTGTAAATGCCTATTTTGTGTTTAAATGTCTAAATATTGCCTCTTTTCGTATTTAGTGATCAAACTGCAATTATTCGTAGTCAAAAATTAAACATTGTGCGTTTTTTCGTTTTTATCTTTCGGGATACAGAGAAATCGAACAACAATCGATAAATCTATGTTCCGTTTTACAGCGTGTATTTCGTATAATGAAACACGTGCAAAGTCACTGGTGGTAGTCGAATTACTTTTTACTTCGAATTCTTAATCACATTGTTTTCGAAAACGGATCCGAATTTTCCTTAAAATAATTTTCTTCTCGTATATATCAAAGGGCGGTAAAAAAATTGGTGCCTGTCCCAGTTTTCGCGAACTCTTTGTACTTTCGAAAAAATGAAAAAGTTAACATTGAAAAATTACAATATTTAATACAGAGATTTTTGTCGTAAATGAAATATATTCTTAAAAAATCACATATATATTTCATATAAATGAAATTCATGAAAAAAGTTAATGTATATTTTTTTAACGAGTGATTTGCGAAATTTCTTCTTGAAATTAAAGCAAATTGTAAAAAAAATCTCAAGAACTGCTACAAATCTTTTGTACAATTTTTCTTCTATGGATAGAGCAAGGGACGCGTAAAAAAACGATGCAGGTCTCGTTTTCGTTAAACTCTCTGAACTTTTGAAAATTGCAAATTTTGAAATATTTTTAGACATAATGTGAGAATGTATGTGCTGCTCTAACACCACTAGTTGCAACATTTATGTAAAGCACGGCGATTAAAAAATCGTAAAATGTTTTCAATTATGTATAAATTAAATGTGAGGGAAAAGATGTGCAGCATTAGAGTATCAGCTTGCATTTATTGAAAGCAAAAAGGTAACTACTGCATTTCAGACTTTTTTGTTCGAAATGCGCAACAATGATAGAAATTATTTTTATTAGGATTTGTCGGAACAATAATGAAAGCAAACATTCCATGAAGGTAACTACATTGTTCAGATACTTTCTACACAAGTGTATAAATACAGATAAGAAAAAAATTATAGGGTTTTTTCAATGCCTGTTTTATATTTTTAAATGTCTGTTTTACATTTATAAATGCCTATTTTAGATTTTTAAGTGCCTATTTCGCCTGCGAATTTCTACAGTTTTTCGTGCCTATAAATCCTCAGCTTAATAATGATAGTGCTCGAGCAATGCCGGATTTCTCTAGCCAGTGCTTCCGTATTTCTCTAGTGCTTGTGTATTAGTCACTGGCGAATCACAGAGTGGCCCCCCGGAATTGTCGCAACACCGGTATATAGTCCTTAGATACAAGAACATTGAGATTATATGCTTTCATCAGTTGAGTGGTAAGCGCCCATGGACCAACCTCGTTCGCCGAGTCTGTGCCAATCGTTGGGAACTGCGGAAAGCAGGGAGGGAAGGGCAGCGGCATTGGACACGCCTTGCCTGCCCTCTGCTCCATTTTTACCGTCTCTCTCCGCCCTGTTCTTTACTCCCTTTCTGCCCCGGCCTCCCGCCTTGCCCTCCCTGTGTGCCCTCCCCCGTCCTCCCGCCCTACCTTCCTTGCCCTCCCATCGTAC